CGCATCCGGCCCCCGGGCCTTAGGTTGCCTACCCCTGATCTAGCATGTAGTCTTCCTCTCTTTCTGCTTCTCTCCACCTTTCCCAGCACTATTGTTTTTTCCAAAGAGTCCTCTCTTCTTATGATGTGGCCAAAGTATGACAGCCTGAGTTTGGTCATCTTGGCTTCCAGGAAAATTTCTGGCTTGATCTGATCAAGGACCCACTAGTTTGTCTTTTTGGCTATCCATGGGATCCTCAGCACTCTTCCCAGCACCACATTATCTCAAATGCATTGATTTTCCTCCTATCTTCTTTCTTGACTCTCCAGCTCTCACATCCATTCATGGCAATAGGCAATAGAATGGTTTGTATGATTCTAACTTTTGTGCTGAGTTGTATATCTTTGCATTTTAGCATCTTTTCTAGTTCTTTCATATCCACCCTCCCCATTCTTAGTCTTCTTCTGATTTCCTGGCCGCAGTCCCCATTCTTATCAATGTTTGATCCCAGGTATGCAAACTCTTTTACTATAGCAATGCCAAACCTCTTGTGAGTCAATCTTGTTAGGAAAAACCTAGGAGAGGGTGTCCATCCAGTGGTGTCACTAGTGTTGGTGTCACACAGTGTGGTAACTCATGGTGTCACACACCCCTATTTACCTCCTCCCATACTACGCCATACAGAATATGTAAGAGTGGGTTTTGTACTACTGTTGCTCATTAATCATAATTCCTGCATGTCACTGAATGTCATAGTAACAGCTGTGACATAAAACTAGCAAAATTAAAATGATACCTTTAAATTACAATATCATGCGTACAGCCTCAATGCATTTACATATGCATACTTTCATGTGCTTGAAGTGAAAATTTGGTAAAAGGTAATTTTTTTAAAGAAAATTTTAAAAGAACAAAAAATGTGTTTTTTAAATTTAATTTTAAATTTTTTTATTTTTATTTAAAAAACAAAAACAAAACTGGGACCTCTCCTTTCTCCTCCCACTGAGCCTAACCCCACTGATCCCATCTCTTCAGCATTTTAATGGGACACAGATGAATGCCACAGCCCATTTCTGCCAAAAAGGAGATGTTTGAGAACAATAGTGTCACCCCCCCTTATGGTGTCACCTGGTGCGAACCACACCTCCCACATACACACACCCAATGACACCACTATGTCAAGCATTGACTCAAAGCAATGGTACTCAACCTTTGGCCCTCTAACAGAACACACTCAGAGATGGAAAGTGGGATGGAAGCTAGGTGCATGGGGTTGTGTGTTTTAGGGGTGGTTGGTGGTGGATGTCCTACAACAAATGACAGTACTTGTCCATAGGGAAACCATATTTGCCCATAGAGAAAACATACTTGCCCATAGGGAATCATTGGAGAAAACCTGCCCATGAGAATCATTGCAGAATACTTGCCCATAGAGAATCATTACAGAATACTTTCCCATAGAGAATAATTGCAGAATACCTGCCTATAGAGAATATTTGCAAAATACGTGCCCATAGAAAATCATTGGAGAATACTTGCCCATAAAGAATCATTGGAGAATACCTGCCTATAGAGAATCACTGCAGAATGCTTGCCCATAGAAAATCATTGGAAAATACTTGCCCATAGGGAATCATTGGAAAATACTTGCCCATAGGGAATCATTGGAAAATACTTGCCCATAGGGAATCATTGGCGAATACCTGCCCATAGGGAATCATTCGAGAATATTTGCCCATAGAGAATCATTGGAAAATACTTGCCCATAGGGAATCATTGGAAAATACTTGCCCATAAGGAATCATGGGAAAATACTTGCCCATAGGGAATCATTGGAGAATACTAGCCCATAGAGAATCAGAGAGCAGACCTTCCATTCCACAGAACCTCACTCTGCTCCTCTGCAAT